TAAATATCACAAAGCCTGCCATTTGAAATAAATAAATATTGCCATTTCTACTTATTGTTTATTGTCCCAAAAATGTATACACATTGAAACTTATTGTAAACTTGGCATTCGATTGGAATTCTATTGTTCCAAAGTGTAAAAAATATTTTATGAGTAGTATTTTGTTATTTTTCACTGCTTGTTCCCAAACTGACGTCCATTTTGATCCAGACACTGCTGATAACGCCAAGCAGTGGAATCGCCCACATCGTGAAACAATTCCCTTGGGTTGTGGAGGTAATCATGCTCAATGGCTTCTCTTAATTCAGTGACTGTTGCAGGTTTCGTAGTGTAGACTTTGTCTTTTAAGTTCCCCCAAGGGACAAAATTGAGGGGTGTGAGGTGTGGTGAATAGTTAGGATATTCAACAAAACCTGTTTGGTAAGACCTCATCAAGGAAATACCTAACATCGATATGTGGGGTGTGTGATAGACTTACCTCCACGTGGTGCACCCTGGGCAACTTATACTCATACGGCAAAAAAGTCTATTAACTGGGAGTTGACTTCTCACTTCAAACTACCATCACCCCCACTGTATGCCATATTCGACTACTTCCATAGTACTCACCTCACCTTTTTTCTACCTTTGTGACTGTCTCTTTTATATCTTTGAAACACTCTTCTGTCCCCCCCCCCTCTCGACCTTTTTCAATTTGATGTACCTTCCTCTCCTTGAAGCTTGAAATCAACTAAAGGGCTATTGATAACCATCAAGACGCCCGCCATTTGATATAAAACATCGAGATGTTAATGTTGGAGGTACCCCATCTTGAAAATAAAACTCTTCATCTTCAAAGTCTTCTCTAATTTTTGGCCTAACAGACTGGTGCAGAAAGTTCAGATAATGGGACCGGTTACATTAGCGTCAAAAAAAGAATGGTCCAACTAGTTCTCTTGATGATAAATCGCATCACGCTTTAATTCCAGGTAAATTGACATGATGGTCGACAGTAATGTGTGGATTCTCAGGTCCCCAATGGGTGCAGTTATGGCTGTTAATATGACCATTTTTACACGAAAGTGTCCTCGTCACACCACACATTCTTTCTTGAAAATTTCACTTTAAAAGACAATGAAATGTTACTTGCAAATAATTTTACTCAAAAGAAATAATAATAAACACAAAGTTTGTAATAATTTCAAGTGTGTAAACGTTTTTTGGGTCACCTTGTATAGATATTTAACAATCAATAAATCTTTCGGGGGTAATAATCTTTACAATCTTATATATATTTGGAGCAAACGTTGAGGGCTTGTAAAGATATAACAAAGATCAGTTTATGATAATACCTACCTCTTCATCTGTTCTTTAAGAGTTTGAAAAAAACATTAAATTTGAATCCAGTCAAATTTAATAAGAAAATTTACACTCTCTTCCCTAATTTAGGATGAGTTAATATTCAAACAGTAATTGAAATAGGATAGTATCTTGCGTTATGATCTCGATTCTATATTACCGGTAACTAGGAGTATTAAATCTGTTATTCATTTAATCAAAAATGCATTTAAAAGTTCGTAAGTCAATCGATTGAAAACGTTCCCAGAGTTTAGGGACAAAATAATGAACTGATTTTCTAATTGCATTTTAACCTTTAGCGAGAGACTTACAGCTTTTCTCCCTCCCATACGGGATGAATGCTCCCAAATGCACAATGCACACACACACATAGATGTATTCTTCTTAGGTGAAATATTTTACCTCTATTTTATTGTCCATGGGCTCCCATTTGGGTGGGTGATTATTTGATTACAAAAAATAGTTTCATGAAATGAGATTTTCCACTGAACCGCCCTGGGCGGATGTTCGGAAAATCCCTATATCTTAGTGAGATGTAGCGAAAATGGAAGAGGGTATTGTAAAACACTAAATTTATATTTTATTCAAACAAACAATATGCCACACACACACACAATTGTGTATTCATCATTTATGACCACTCGCGCACATAAAAGAAAGTCAAGCCCTGTCAGAGACGTCATCGGAAGAAGCTATAGCGACAGCCTTTTTCCTACGAAGAGATTCCAAAGCACGTCGTCTCAAACGATCCTCTTCAGTATTGTCTTCACGATCACTCTCTCCTCTGCTGCTTTCTTTCATAACTCGACCACCACTACCAGGAAGGTCATGGTCATTCTTTCGGCGCTTTGAACGATTTTCGAAGTCAGCATCAACCTTTAAAAACGGAAAAATTAATTGCCTTGTTAAGACCCACATCAGGGCAGGAAATTTTAACTACTCTACACTGTCCCAAATGGGGTGTGCAATAGACTTATCTCCACGTGGTGCACCCTGG